GAGCATTGTCACAGGAAGGACCAGCTGTTTTCCCGAGAACAGAACAGTTCCATCTTGGGGGGACACTACTCTGGGGCACCCCATTTGCCTCTGAGTACCCTCGTGAGACCCTGCTCCCCACAGCCAGGCCCAGGTGACCCTGAATGTTCTGAGTTAGGGGTGGGGGGCCTGCCAGGGTGGTTCCCCTCCAACAGACACACCACCAAGTCGAGACCCTGGGGGGATGCCCCCCACCCACCCCCGGCCCAGTCTCCCACCTTGTGTGTGTGTGTCTTGGGACCATCCGTCCGTCTGTGAGCACTTCGCTTGAGTCTCGGAAGCCCTGGTGATAGTCTCCGGAGACGCAGGGAGAGGAGCCTGCCTGGGCTCCTGGGTGCAGCCTGTCTTGCTCCACGGCCACCCGTGACCCTGCAGTCCTCCCGCCAGCCCACCCAGAGCTGTGCCTTGGGGCCCAGGAGAATGAGGTGGGGGAGTGATGCGAAACCGAAGTGATGTCACCGCCCTCTGAATGCGGATCCGAACCGCTGGCTGGTGGGTACTGTCCAGCATGGGGCTGGCAATGGGAGGGTTGGAGGCACCCTGGGTGGGCTCGCCTGCCGTGTCTGGGGGGGCTCTGGGCTCTTCCTGGCCTTCCGCCACCCCGCCCCGCCCCTGGAGCCAGGCCTGCTCACTCTGGCCTGCAGGGTGATGCCTTAGGCACCACCAATTGCTTGTCTGTGTCCGTTGACCTATATGACAAGGGAAGAAAATTATTTTTAAGGCGATGAGGAGCCTCTTCCCTGGTTCCCCGGCTGACCTAGAAAGCTTTTTCTTTGCAAGTTAACTGTTGGCTGCTCCTCCGAGGCTGCCTGCGAGCGAGCTGCTTTCATTTGGAGGTGTCTTGTTTTCAGATGTCTGTTCTCTCGTGAGTGGGGCGTGCATGTGTGCGTGTGCGTGTGCGTGCGCGTGTGTATGTGTTTTGTACCTTTGTATTATGCAGTTGAATATTCAGTTTCGTGCATTTGAATAGAAGAGGAGGGAAAGGTTTGACTGTTGCACAGTTGCTTATCTCTTAAATAGCGCTTACCTGTTACTTTCCAATAATAGCCCCATTCAGGAGAAGCACTTTCACTTTTCAAGGCTCCTGTCAGCTGCTACCCCATTTGTGTCTGTTTTATGATCCCTTTGGGGGGGGGTTCACCTTCCTACCACCTTGTTTGTCCTGCTTTCACTGACCCCGGGAGCCCCCCAAGTAGCGTGGGTGCAGTTAATGGGGGAGGGGGGGCGTTGGGGGTTGCCTTCCATGCACAACCAGGAGAGGGTCCTTTTGCAGAATGGCAGGTGATGCCTCTGGCAAACTTGTCTCCTGTGCCCCGTGATTTGACAGACAGCCCAGGCACAGGCAAGCGATTGGTGGTCGTCAGGAGGACCACTGCAGGCCTGAGTTAACAAGCCTAGTTACAGGGGAGTGGGCAGGCCAGGAGAGCCCAGGGCCCCAACAACACCGCAGCATGCTGGCCCAGGATGCTTCCATCACTGCCTCCGTCTCCCGCTGCCAGTCAGGTGGGGTAGGAGAAGGGCGAGGCACTTGGCTTGCTGCAGCTGATCCAGTTTAATTCCAGGCACTGCATATGGTCGGTCCCCCGAGCCCCGCCAGGAGGGAACCTGGAGGGCAGAGCCTGGGTAGTGGGAAGACCCAAGTGCCACCAATATGGCCCAGAGTTTAAAAAGTTCAAGTGGTCCATTTGGGAAGAAGCACACCCAGTGGTGCTCAGGGACCATTTCTCACTTTATTATGCTCAGGGCTCACTCCTAACAGAGCTCGGGGAACCGTATATAGGGGGCAGAGGTAGAGCCTGCCTCAACCACATGCAAGGCAAGCAGCTTACCCCCAAGTGTCACCCTGGCCCAAGTTGGTACATTTTATGGCTTGGATATTTGACTCAATTGGGAAAATAAAAATTATTATTATTATTATTTTGCTCTTGGACCATGCCCAGCTCTGCATGTATGCTCAGGGTTCACTCCTGACTCTACACTCAGGGATCACTCCTGACTCTCTGCTCAGGGATCACTCCTGGTGGTGCTCAGGGGACCCTATGTAGTGCCAGGAACTGAACCCAGGTGGCCAGGTGCAAGGCAAATGCCCCAGTGCTATCCTGTCACTCGGCCCCTTATAAAAAGATGTCCATACCCTGAAAGGACTTGTGGTCCCTCATTTGGCTGGTGATTCTGCCTTTCCTGCCTCAGGTGTACTTGGGGGCAGGAAGGGGGGAGGGGGGTCCTCACCACCGAGTCATAGGCTCCTTGTGAACTCGCGTGCACTTGAGAGCTAAAAATGATGATACCTTAAGGAATAACATTTATTGGTAATTAAGTGTTTTATGGCTTCTTTGCTTTCTCTGAATGGAATAAATAAATATTTTAGACATAATCAAGTTTGTTTTCTCAATTTGGGCCCAACAGACAGGGAGGCAGGAATGATATAGATCTTTAAAATGCCACAAATGAGTCTTGACATCGCGGAATTATTAGGCGTTGGAGGTGCGGGCAGGCCCTGAGATCCCAGGCTCTCTTGTTTCTCGTCAGGAAAATCATCTTCGTGATCCGTGGAGCTGGAGCTCTGCGGGAACGAGGCTGGGGCCGGCAAGGGGATCAGCTACACTGAGCCTGTGCTTCTCTGCCCACCCCACTCCTCGGAGCCAGTACAGTGGTCGAGTCCTGGGTCCGAGGTGTTGGATCTGGTGGGCAGACAGTGAGGAGGGCGCCAGCCCCAGGCGGGGGATGGGGTGGGAGTGCAATGGGAAAGCAGCTTCTCTGGGCCCAGCCCCTCCCCGCAGTGATGCTCCTCCCAACCTCCCCACCCCTCACTCTGCTCTGGCCCTGGTGGTCAGCGACTCCACAGCCTTTGCCCATGGCTAAGGTGGCTTTGCTCATCCCCCCACCCTTGCCCACCTCTTTCCAGAGCACAGGCCAGGTGGACAGAGGAGATGGGGTGGGACCTGCCCCCCGCAGGGCTCGGGGCTGGAAACCCCACTCCTCACGGCTGCCGTAACCGAAACTGGAGAGTGACCAGCAGCAGAAATCATTTCTCTTGGGGCTGGAGAGATAGCACAGTGGGTAGGGTGTTTGCCTTGCACGCGGCAGACTCGGGTTCAATTCCCAGCATCCCGTATGGTTCCCTGAGCACCACCAGGAGTAACTCGTGAGTGCAGAGCCAGGAGTAACCCCTGTGCATCGCCAGGTGTGACCCAAAAAGAAGGAAAAAAAAAATAGAAATCGTTTCTCTTGCTGCCGTGGACACAGCCGTGTCCAGTGCTGGGGTTGGTAGGAGGGCGGAGCTGGGCCTTGCGTCCAGGGCATAACCTGGCTTCTGCTCCCACCCTGGTTCTGGCCCCTTGGCTCGTGGCTACATCCCCCCAGTCCCTCCTCTGGCCACTGTAACACCACCAGCCTGGCCGGCACCTCCCACCCCTGGTCTCTCCACTCTTTTGGCAAAGCTCCTGCCACTGGGTGCAGAGCCCCTAAAGCCTGCGGGATCTCTTCCTGACCTCTCCTGGCGGGCCATCACCTGTCCAACTAGGGTCATGTCCCAAGGTCACGGTGATAGCTCTTGCCACCTCATCCGTTCCTCTCATCCTGGCTAGCAGAAAGGCTCCTCCCTAAGAGCCCCCACTTTTCCCCATCCCACCCCCTCTCAGGCTGCTTCCAAAATCGGCATGTTGCCTAGGTTGAGGCTCAGACTGGGGGCCAGGGGGGCCCTCACAGACCCCTCAGGCCAGGAGTGGAGGTCGCTCTAAGAGAGGGTAGCCCTGCTTGACTGCAGAGGGGACCTGTCTCATGCCTTTTCGAGCAGAAACGGGCCCTTCTGTGCTGTGCAGAGTCTGAGTGCGCCCCTGAGGACCTAGAGGGAAGGTGGGGGGTGGCTGAGCTGCCTGGGGGGGACTCCTACAGAGCCCCACACTCTGGCTGGAGCCCCTGGTCCTCTGGAAGGGCACTGTGTGCTCATCCCACTCAGAGCTGGACTCCGGAAGGGTGGTCTGCAAGACGGGCGTTCATCAAAGAGGCAGCGGCCTCTGCGTGTCCTGCCTCATGACAGAATTAACAACAGGGAGGAGGGGACGCTCCCCACAAACAGACACGGGTCTGTAATCTGGCCTCCTGCCTCTTCTGTCCTCAGCTGCCTCTTCCGCCATGGGTGGGTGGGTGAGTGGGGGAAGCCGTCCTGGAGGAGGGTCTGTGCGGGAAGGCGGCAAGGTGGGTGCACAGCTGGGGCTGCCGGCTGGCACCCCTGGCTGGGGGTGTGCCAGGAGGAGAGAGATGGGCAGGAGCGGGGCGGGAGGAACTCGGATGCTGAGCAGTGGTCGGCTGCCAAAACCCGTCAGTATGGCTTGTCTAGCAAAGCCGGTCTCCAGCCGAGCAAACACAGTGGCTGGCTGACGGGCTGACAGCAGGCATCAAACAGTCTTAAACTGCCCCAAATCCGCAGCGCTTTTGAAGCAGCAGCAGAAAAAGGATGCCTGCACGGAACAGAGGCCTGGGACTTTTAATAGTTTCTTCCGTGCCTCAGGATGTCCTGATGAGGTATTAGAGGAAGTAATTCAGGAAGAAAAGGACAAATAACCGGCTCCGTCTGGAGGCCGACCCGAGGGCTGGCCAGCTCAGCTTGGGGGTGGGGTGGGGGAGGCGAGTACCGGAGCCCCCCACAGCGAGTGGCCCAGCCCTGCTAAAGAACAGATGTGTCCACTGCTCCCTTGCTTCTGGGCATATGTGAGCCAACACCGCGCCGGGTGACTTGGAGGTGCTGTGGGGTGGGGAGGGGGTGAAACCATGACCTTCTTTTTTTTTCTTTTTGCGGGTGTGCAGTACAAATGAGAAGTGATTTCCTCCACCTGCAGAGTGTGTGCTGGGGGGCTGGGAGGTGGGGAAGTACTGTCCCTGTCCCTGAGACCTCCGGGTTCCCAAGGCATACTCCCCTCTTCTCATTCCTATGTTTTTTTTTTTTTACCCCTTTTCTTTAGGCTTTGGCTTTGTCACATTTGAGAATGAAGATGTGGTAGAGAAAGTCTGCGAGATCCACTTCCACGAGATCAATAATAAAATGGTAAGTGGGGAGGATCCCGGGAACGTGGTGCCTGCCTGCCCCCCCACAGCCCCTGGTGTCCGGCGTCCTGCAGGACCATGGACACAGCGGCAAGTCCCGGGCCCCAGGCCCCAGCAGACAGACTCTGTCTGTAAACAGCCAAACAATCGTCTCCCATGTCAGCCGTGCGGGCAAGTCCACGGCCCAAAGGCTTGTGCAAAGATGTTTTTATTTACTTACTGATGCCATTTCAAAATGTTGGGGAAAAAAAACCACCATCTTGGCAGGACAGAAGCGGGCAGGGGCCCGGACTCGGCCTGTGGGCTGTTTGTTTGCCAACCTCTTGGCTTCGGAGATGAGTTTGCTGGTTTTGGCTCTTGCCTCTGTGAGGGAGAGATGCTAGATTGCAAGTTTATCGCCCAAATCGCTTCTTTCTTTGGACCCCGCTGGATGATTAGCATTCTCCCCCCTTGCCATCGGCTAAATCATTTTATGCTCGCCATCAGCTGCTTCTGTCCATCCCCTGGGTGTGTATAAAGCTCCTCTTTCTGGCCTCAAAAGGAAGGGAGGTCCGGTCCCCCAGCATTTATGGGGTGGGGAGTGGGGGGGGGGGTGTCAGACGCCTGGAGAAATGGCCACCAGAGGGCACCATACTGCCTGCCGCAAGTGTGAGGTCTCCAGGGCCCGCAGACCCAAGTGTGGGGGGCGTGAATTCCCTTTCTTGTTCCAGAAAAATCGGAGTCAGTGAGTTTCTGAGACCTCAGCAGGTCGTTGAGAGTCAAAAGCATTCTGGTTGGAGCCTCTGGCCCCGAGAGAAGCGGGAGGCATGATTTGTCTTTGGCGTCGTGGTGGCAACTTGGATATTTTCTTCCTTTTTAGTCAGAACCTTCCTTGCTCCCGAAGCATGGGCTCGGCTATGCATTGTATATTGGTCTGATATGTGTTCACCGACTTTAAATTCAATAATAGAGCTTTTAGTGTGGATAAGATCAAAGCAATCTGCTTAGCATGTGGTGCTACAGGCCTGATTCAATATTTGACTTGCTAATTTTTTCCCAGGGCACTAAAATAATATTGTTCATATTGTTCCTAGTCATCCTGCGCGTCTGAAATGAGAATGCGGCTTCTTTGCGTGTGCCGTCAGTTGACGGCGTCAGCTCAGGCATTAAAATGGTGCCAGGGAGATAAGCGTGGGGAGTGACACAAGGCCCCTCTGGCCAGTGCTGGCACTGCCCCCGACTCTGTGCATCCCTGCGTATTCTGTGTAAAACATGAGAGACAGGACTTCGCGGGAAGCTGCCTCCAGCACCCGCCTCAGTGGTCACTTTTGCCAGCCTCCATCCTGGCAGTGTCTGGTGGACAGCAGGCCTGCATGCGTCCCTTCACTGTGTCCAGCTTGGAGATGGGGCTGCGGTGCCTACCAGGCTAAGAGCTCACTCTCCTCTCAGTTCCTGCAGGGAAACTGAGGCTCAGGTCTGCTGCCCCCTTTGCAGGAAAAGAAATCTCTGTATCCCTGGAAATTTGTCTTCTCTGTGTCCCCCCTTCTTCCACCTGAGGCTGCTGCTGGCCCTGGAGAGGTGGGGGTCACCGCTTTGGAATGACCAGCCGCAGAGCATGTCCACTCCAAAGGGACCGTGTGGGGGAGGGTGTCTGAGCTGGGCCATGAACCTACAGTCAAGTAGCGTTTTCTTGTTGTTATTGGCTCACACCTGCCTGGCAGCGCTTCGGAGCTCGTCCTGGCTCGGTGCTCGGGGGACCATGTGGTGCCAGGGGTCAGACACACTCCGGCCCTCGGGGCTGTCCGTCTCCATTCCCGTTCCCCACTTTTCTTCCACCCAGGCGGAGACAGACCGTGTACCTGGAGAGAGGGTGTCCGGTGGCTTTCCTCCGGGCTGCTCCTTGTTCATTAGACGGACAGAGTGTGGGCCTTCTCCTGGGTGGGAGAGGGAGGCATGTGTGACCCTCGGCACGAGGCGGCCATGTGAGACCTCTCTGCCACCCTGCCAGCCCCAGCACAGCTAACAGTGCTTCCGGCCATGTCTATGCCCTGACTGAAGCCGCCCCAGCAGGGGCAGCTGCAGAAGGAGACAGAAATGCAGGCAGAGGCTGGAGCTGGCCTGCAGCTCACTGGGGACAATGGGTGTGGCCTGAAGGCGCTAATGGGGATGGGGTGTGGGGGGTCCTGTCACTGACGCCAGGGCTCAGACTGGTGAAGGGAGGGGGCTCTACCCTCACTCCCTCTGACAGGCAGACCCAGGGCTCGAACTGTGGAGTCCTCGAGGTCGAACCTCGGGCTTTTCCCTTTATGCCTCACTGCCCAGCGGGGACCTCAGCCCAGGAAAGTCGGGGTTCATGTGACTGCTGATTGTAAGGAAGAGTCTCCATTAGTGTTGTGTGAGGATTGTTCTGGGGTTCCTTGGCAGGACCCCACTTCTTATTTAAAGTGAGTGGATTTAGGACAGTTGCCCGGTCGTGAACTGGGAAGTAGAGTGTAGTCTTACCCTCTGGGGAGAGGAGAAGAGGAGGGGAGGGGAGAGGAAAGGAACAGGGGAGAGGGGAGGGGAGGGAACGAGCTGAGGAGGCACCCAGGCCCAGGTTCAGTTCTGAGCCTTTCACCAACCAGAGGTATAGCCTGGGCAAGGGCTGCAGTGACAGCCTGCAGAGTTTCCACGCCTGCATCGTTAGGGACACTCCTGGCAGGGTGGGTCTGAGAATGGTTAGCACAAGAGTCAGTTGACCCAAGAGGCCTTCCTGGCAGAGGGTACCATGAACAAAGAGCTCCTCATTGCTGCGCTGTGTCCTTGGGCCTTTCCCTTGTCCCCTGGGCTCTGGTCCCTGTGTTAGCCTGGCAGAGAGAGGCAGCAGTAGCCTCGAGGTAGGGTGCAGGGTGGGACTTGGGGCTGGGGACGGGTCGCAGCCATCAGAGCCGGGAGTTCTTGGATCATTGCTGCCCTTACTGTCCTCACTGTAGGTTGCTCTTACTGAGCCTCTGTCTCATCACAAGGTAAGACGGCCCAGGACAGGTGAGTGCAGGGCCAGGGGTGCTCCCACGGAACAGCATCTTGGCCCCAGGGGAGCTGGTAGACTCCTCAGAGAAAGTTCCAGAAAGTCCACTTCTAAGGGCAAAATCTGAGCATGCCCAGGGGGTGGACCCCCAGAGGGAGAGAGAAGAAGACAGTTGTGGGTGGGGCTCAGGGCTGCAGTGCTGACCAGGCCACCACCAGAGCCCCTGCCATCCCCGGATAGAATGGGGTGCTATGTCTGCAGGGTGCCCCAGTGACCCCCGACCCCTGTGGGGTGCCCAGTAGCACCCCCTGGCCCTTCCCTCAGGCGGTTCTTTCCTCCCAGGGCCCCAGAGCTGTGGGGGAGCCCTGGGAGGGGGCGGGGGCGCGGTGGGTGGAATTAACCGGGCCTGTGCTCACCCCCCTGTGTGTAGAGTCCTTCTCACTCGTAAGCTAATTTTAGCCATCCATTCTGCTTCTGTTACCATTTATAAAATGAGAATGTCAAATGCAATATTAAACAGGCAGGGTGAAGGCAAAAAAGGAAATGCCGGAGAGGCACAGAATAGATGGATCTGGTGTTTACGTGGGTGCGGGGGGGGGAGGGGACCACCCCCACACCCGCTCTGGGCACGGGAGACGGGCAGAGGAGGCGGGCGGCCGGGGGTCGATCCTGGCGGCTCTGTGACCCACAGCAAGGTGTGTGTGTGTGTGTGTGTGTGTGTGTGTGTGTCCTCTCCCCCTCCCCCCCCCCACCTGGCTCCTGAGTGCTGGTGGCTCTTGTCCTCCTCTCACCTCCAGCCAGGCCCCTCCCACCCACCACCCACCCCCCATCCCTGTTGGCAGACAGCCCACCCTGGTGGCTGGGAGGTGCCCTTTCCTGGGGTCCATCTCCGCCCCTCCCAGCCCCTGCCCTGGTGTCCTCTGTCTTTTCAGTGGCAGAGTGAGGGGGGGGGGGGTGTCTGTGCGGGTCCGCCGCGCCCAGGCAGGAGTGGGCTGAGCTGCGTTCTCCGTTTCACTTTGACGTGCCCTTGCAGCTTCCCGGGAAGGGGAAGGAGAACAGCTGCGTGCCAGCCTCAGCTCTTTCCCCAAATAGAGCGGCGGGAGGCTCCCCGGTGCACCTCTGCTGACGGAGCAGAACGCTGGGCTCTACCTGCAGCAGGTGGGGGCGGCCACGTGCCGGGGCGGGGTGCCAGCTGGGGGATGGCAGAGGGCACAGATGTGCAGAGGAGGTGGCCAGCCTGTGAGGAGAGGAGGGTGGCGGGTCCCCTGTCCTGAGGGGCTTGCGCCGCTCTCCCCCAGCGTGATGGGAGGAAACTGAGGCCCTGAGAGGCGGGCCCAGCCTGGAGCCAGCATGTGGCACTGGAAAGGGTGGGATCTGGGCGTCCAGGCCGCCTGCTCTCCCACGCCTTCCCAGGGACCCCCCCCCACCACCACATGCTCTCAGCGCCCAGCCCTCCCCCTGCACGGCGCCCGCCTGATATTCACGGAACACTGAGCAGAGGAGACAGCGGTGATGGCGTCCTGGCGGTGGCAGGAGCCTCATCTGCACCCGGGCCCGGGAGGGTGGGGCAGGGGACACTGTGCCTGCATGGAAAACAGCCCAAGTGGCCTGGCGTCAGTGCCACTGCATCTCCCCGCCGGGGGAAACAGCTCCTTCAGTCCAGAGAGGGTGCTGAGAAGGGGCCATCACTGAGGGAGCATCGGGCAGTCCCCGTGTAGCTGTGTGCATAGGGTTCACTGTGTGAGTGTGTGTGTGTGTGTGGTTGTGTGCACATGGTTTGCTGTGTGAGTGTATGTGTGGTTGTGTGAATATGATTCACCGTGTGAGTGTGTGTGCACAGTCCTCTATGTGAACATGTATGTGTGGTTGTGTGAATATGATTCACCGTGTGAGTGTGTGTGCACAGTCCTCTATGTGAACATGTATGTGTGGTTGTGTTTATATGATTCACTGTGTGAGTGTATGTGCACAGTTCTCTGTGTCAGCATGTGTGTGGTTGTGTGTGTATGGTTCAC